AAGGCCATCACGATACTTGGATGGAACCCGTTCTCGCTTAAGGGGGTCCCAAGGCGTCTCGACCACATATCCGACACATGCCGTGCCCTTCAGATTATGATGTACGTAGGCACCAAGATACGACAACGCACCACCGACGCCCCGCGCCATCTCGAGGACAGCCTCCACCATACATGGGTCCACTTCGGCTGGGGCCGTGGGGCCCGCACAAACAGCTCAGCAGGCTGCAGCATCGCAGCATCCAAGCGCCTCTTCCGCAAGATAGACATCGTCAAAGTACTGCACCCCCTACAACCCGACCTGCGGGGCCGCGCAGGCGCCGTCGAGCTGCACCGAGGCCAGCTCCGTCTTCGACTCATCGTTGCGTATTTCCCACCACGACCGAACGGAGCAGGTCATCACCAACACTGGAAAGCACCGCCACTCCCGCTCGCGTCACGCCTATCCTGTTTACGGACCTCAACCAAGGACTAGGACGACGATCATGACATCTCCACACCGACAACGCGATCGGCAGCTACCACGCCAGCGACGAGACCGAGTTCGGACGCTTTATTCACGACCAGCTCTTGACTCACCAGCTGACGGCCATCAACACGCACATCCACGTCGGCAACACCTACTACGGGCCTAACAAAGCAAGATCACGCATCTACTACTTCATCGGCTACGACAACCTTATGGAGATCGTGAAATACGTGAAGCTGAATTGGAACATCCACACCAAGCTACGTAGCCTACTACACGTTGCCGACCACGTCCCCATGATTATGCAGATCAGCGGCGTCAATATCACGAACCACAACATTCGCTGGGACTTCGGCCTCCTCGCTGCCGGGCTCCAGACGGGCGCCCACCGTGTTTCTTTTCTCAATGACGTTTACGCCGAGATCGGCAAACACAAGGAGGTCCTCCGAGTTGTCAAGATGGATCAGTTTCCGACCCGACGCAACGCTCTAATCGCTCATATCATCCGTGAACGCGGCCGCAAGTACTACACAAAGGAAGGAGGACAACCACAATGGTACCAACAATCTCGACTTGAAAGATCCCGTCTGCTTAAAGAACGCGCTGACTGTCGAGCCCGACGACTACCCTTCAATCGCGCAACCCCACGCGAGATCCAACGACGCCTACGAGCACACCAGCGATGGATGGATCACTGGTGGAAAGTCAGCCTCGACCAGGACATCCGCGACGCGTGGGCCACTCGCGACCTCTCCCGAGTTGAACATCTCACGTGCATCCGAGCGGGGCGACGGACGGGGCCACGACGACGATCATACCTAGCACTGCCATCCACACGTCCCGCAGCAGCCGAATACGCCGACGCCCTTACCCAGCCAGCCGTCCAGGGGGGGCTCTCTGCTACGCCCGCCTACGTCAGTATGTATATCGATGACCCGACAGCTATTCCACGACTACTTGCCCAACCGAACGACAATCAACCAGTGGGGGAGCACGTCGGCGCCCCTGAGCTCCATGATATTGAGCCGGCAGCGGAGGAGCTCGATCATTTGCAGAAACGACTGTGGAGGGAGAAGCGGAGGCGCTACAATCCACTTTGGGCATGGCCCATCGAACTCACCATCATGCTCCTCGCCCCGCAGTATCTGACGCGCCCTGGTGTTCAACGGGCAGGGATGGGACATGACACCGCCGACTATCAATGCGCTGACCCGCTCGCCGAGCGGGTCTACCAACCCAGTCGACGGAAGCTCGTGATCGACTACGACGTCAGCTCCACCATCATCCAGACCTTCGTCACATTGCTCGCTCATGCTCACCGATGTGGATCTCTGCCCGCCCAGGCGTTCACCAGCCAGGCGGTCGCCATCGGAAAAGAAGGAAAAAGCCCAACTGGCAACGTGATTCAGGACATTCATGCATGCGTACGTTTACTTCACTGTTTCGACCAATTTTGGCGATTGTATCTTAGAATAGGATTCATTCAGTATGGAACGTAATTCGATCCACCGCCGTGGGCCTATGGAGGCATTCATTCCCGCCGTCGCGAATCACTCATGCTCATCGCTAAGCTGTTGATACGGAAGATGAGATCCGCCAGAATGTCTTTTCTCGCTAAATCGTACGACATGCGGAACGCATTCGCGACAGGCCCCCACGAACAACTGGTTGCCGGCCACACGCTTCGATGCGAAGATGAGCATTTTCATCCCCTCCTTGAGCAGCACCGACACGAGGCTGTAGTATTTCTGCAGGCGTCTGATGCCAGCATAGCTCTTCGACCAGGGACGGGAGGGGGGATGGGCGATTCAAACGAGCCTGAATTTTTCATGGAATCATTTTATCCATTAGTTAAGCAGTGGTCCCAGGAGATGGCACAGGTCCAGGGGAACCCGTTCCAGGTACACTGCCCTTTCACTGGCGAAGAGTTTGATGCGCACCTTGGAGCTTTCATTGACGATCTAGTTAAGATCCTCTTGGCGCCAGACGGCACGGCCCTCCAGGCGCTGCAGATTGATAAGATCGACAACGACGCGCTCTCCCAGGCCCTCGAGGCTGGCGGCTACGCACAGAACATCAGTAAGCAGGACACCCTGGTCTCACTGGGCACTCACGGGGCTACGAAGGAGGCCGAACGGAATATTCCTGGGAACGCAGTCCAGGACTTGATTCATCTCGGAGGATATGTACATGTTGCCATCAGTAATCGTCGTGAAGTCGAGGCCCGCATACAATCAGGTAAGTTCGGGTGGTGCCGTCTGGGCGACTATTGGTTCTCTGGAGGTCCCTGGAAAGCTAAACGGCTCGCGTTCGTGTCCAACGTCGCGGGGAGGGTTTGGTCTGGCCTCGAAAGCTATGTGTTGTCCCCTAGAGAGCTCCACAGACTCGACAGTTCGCTGGCCCGCAAACTACGATCAATGATGAGAGGAGCGGCACATCAGGATGAGGAGCACAGCAATCATCGACCTTTGTCTATCCGCCAAGTGTTTCTTGAATGGCAAGGTGCACCGACTGCCATCGAGCTACTCGTGCGCAGGCTCAGTTGGTGGCAGAGCATAATCCGATCGCACACGCATCATGGCCACTTTCTCGCTTCTTTTTTTTTTTTTTTTTGGAAGATGCAAGTTCGAGCAGCAGGCGGCCATAAGCAACCGCCCCGCCAGCGCTGGCACCCTCAATTCGCAGGGTGAGATCTCCGCAGACCCGAACGTGCACCCGTGGGCCACGCAGCTCGCGGACGATCTGCTGTGCCTGTCGTCCCACACGATCGGCGAGAGCTTTCAGGAAGCGTGGCAACCTCGAGTTGTAAAAAACTTGCGGGGTGACGAGTGGGTTCGAGAGGCCTTCTCAAAGTGTGGCGTTCGGGCTCTCAGGGCTTCTTATTGGACGACCCAGTGGGCTCCCCCCGAGGCCAGCGTGATCACCTCCTCTCCCCTGGGCGGCAACATACGACGAGACGGACACTGACGACCAGACGAACCGCCCCTTCGCGTGCAACGTCGAGTCATGCCAGAAACGGTTCGGGACGCTCAAACAGCTCGCCACACACCAAACTAAAGTTAAGAGCTTAGGACACGGTATGCCAGCGGTATTGACCACCCTACAGATCGACAACAAATGTATTGTGTGCCAAACTACGTATCCAAATCAAGATCATGCAGTTAGACACTTACGACGAGCATGGCAAGCAGGCAGATGCATTCCAGAACTTACTCATCATGTAGACCCCTGGATCCCAGCCACATGTACTACATGCCCTCTACGGGACTACGCTCTGGACCATGCATGCCAAGATGAATATCATGATCAGCAAAAACTTCGAGCTCACGCCCTGGGACAGGTCCCACCGTCGCCATCGGGTTCCATGCTCAAGCCTGTCGTCAGAAGGCTTACCGCGCGCTCGGCCACTCCGAGTGCCCCCCGCCGCGCCCCGCGCCATCCAGCTGCCGCCCATGGCCTGCCATCGAGGACACCCCTGCGGCACGCGCTGCCATTCGTCAGTCGGTGGAACGCATCGTGGGCAGCGACCTCCGCAGCAGACCTAGACACCGACCACTTCGACGGCTACGAGCGGCACGGCCCCCAGCAGCAGCACATGCAACATCTACGCGGTCACTTCGAGTGGCTACTGTCTCCTCTACGCCTACTCTTCCTGCACTTCCTCATGGGCCAGGCGATGACGGCGATGGCGCCCAAGCAGAGAGCGCCGTGGCGACTCCCGCTGGACTCCTCCCAGGGCTCGAAGGGCTTTGGCACCGCCTCCAGCGCCGCGCCAGGCCAGAAGGCGACAAAGGCCTCACGCCCGCCAGGCCCGCCGCCGCCGTCGCAGAGGCGATCGCGATCACCACGAACGCCAACCGAGGAAGGGGGGGCAGCCACGCCAGAAACCACGCCCACCGAGGTGGACGAGGGAGACATCGGCGAGGGCAAGAAGCTGTCGCTCCAGGCGACGCACAAGACCAGGCTGAAGTACAGCATCAGCACGGACACCTACACTATGAGCAACGAGCAACCAGTGATCACAGCCATCACGCAGGAGCTCGAGGGCGACAAGCACGCCCTGGACCCCCTCAAGAAGAGCGGCGCCCCAGAGGACAAGAAACGCCTGAAGGAGATAGGGTCGCCAGCTCCTTCCCTCGCGCTGGCGGCCTTGGAAGGACTGCACAAGTGCGACGTGGGCGGCGCTATGCCGAGCGCCATTCGGAACTGCTTGCTCCGAGGGGACCCCGAGGACATCGGGGCGGAGGCGGAGATCAGCAAGGAAGATCTCATCGACGTCATCTCCTTTGTGCGTCTGGAGAAGTGCCACGACCACACCAAGACGAAGCTGGTGATCGGCGCGCCCATGTGGGAGGGACGAGACCTGATCAACCGCGCTCTCGAGGCCGAGGGCCAGGCGGTCCACCACAGAGGCGTGGCCGAGGGCCGCGCGGGCTGGCTCGAGGAGGAGGTCGGCCACTGGACGAAGACGACCGAGCAGTGAACGAGCCTGCACGGCACAATGCAAGCACAAGCGGAGAGGACATTATCCAGCGCCGTGTCATTTTTGTCCGAGGCGAAGCCCTCCCTGCTAGCAGTAGCGCGGTCACGGTCACGTACCCTCCCGCCTCCGACGTGCTTCCACCTCTCCCCCCTGCCGTGCCTGCACACGCAGAGGAGCTATGCGAGGTGGAGGCCCCGCCTGAGTTCGATACACTCGCCGAGGATGAAGCGGCCGAATATTTTTTCAGCTAGCACCCGAGACGTTGCTTGGCACGCGCTGCGCAAGAGGCCCTTCTGCGCAGCACCTTGGCAGCTTGGCCCACGCGGGGCAGTGCGGGACAGTTGGCTCTCTGCGACGGATCATTAAGTTTGGATTCATTGTACGCCACATCTTACCATCAGATGTTGGTCCTGACGTCGAGGAAAAAGGGGCTCCTCCGTGTGCTTGCCAGGCTCCAGGCCGCCTCGGTCTCTCACAAACGTGCTGAGCCAACTACAGTCAACGCGCCCAGCAAGGACGCGCGCCTTCATCTAGGGTGCCCCTGTGTCCTTGCCTCTGCGGTCCGTCCTTTGCCGTTTTGACTGGTCGCCCGCCGCCCCAAAAATCTCAACTTCGACCCCCACGGGTCTTGCGTCCTTACCACCCGTCCTCAGTACTCCAGATTTCGTAATAAAGGGAGGGGGGTCTCATTTCGGGGGGGGTCTCTTCCAGGCTATCTTGGAGGGCCTGGGGTGGTCTGGGGACGATGCTTTGGAGGGTTCTCCCACGGGGGGGGGGGTCTGAAATGGTTTGTCTTGGAGGGTCCAGACACCCCTCCCTTTTATTACGAAATCTGGAGTACACGTTTTGACACTACAGGAGTCCACTACAGGACCCTGCTTCCTCGAGCCATCGACCGTCGAGCATCGAACGGCGGCGACGGCGGCAACCCCCTCACGGAGGCCCAGGCGACGACGAGCGATGGCCGCACGCGCGGCGGGCGGGCGCGCCGTCAGCGCCCGCGGAGCCTGCTTGCTCCTTCTCTCTCCTCCTCCTCCTCCTCCTCCTCCTCCTCCCTCCTCCTCCTCCTCCTCTCCTCCTCCTCCTCCTCCTCCTCCTCCTCCTCCCCTCCTCCTGGTCGTCCCGTAGAGTGGTCAGTCGAAATTGCTACACAATCGTTTTGAATCCGAATCCGAATCCTCCTGGTCGTCCCCTCCCCCTCCTCCTCCTCCTCCTCCTCCTCCTCCTCCTTCTTCTTCTCCTTTTCCTTCTCCCTCGCGCCCGTTGCCCGCGGCGAGGAGCCCGGGGCGGAGCAGAAGTTCCAGGAGATCGCCAAGGCCTACGAGGCGCCGCGGCGGCCGGTCGGGCGCGGCATGTGCGGCAGGCGGCGCGCCGCTTTGCCGGAGGCTCTCGCCCCAAGGGCCCCGGGGCTCGAGGAGCAAAACGCAGCATAAACATACATTTTCAGAGCTCCTCGCGGATTTCTTGGATCGGCGTTAGGGCCTCCCTGGCGACGCCTCCGGCGCCGCCCCCGGCGCGCGGAGCGCGCCAGGGAGGGGGGGTACCAGCGCAGATTCATGAAATCCGGGCGGACTTCCGAAAGTTTAGCTTTTGTAGTTTTTTTATTCTCCTAGTGGCGCAACCTGGGTCGACCACCACGAGGAGGGGCACGTGGCCTGAACTTGCCGTGGGGCACCTGGCGCCGCGGTGGAGGGAGGCATAGGGGGCTGATGAGGGGGCGAGGACCCAGGTGTGCGTGCCCCCCCCCCGCGTTCCCCCTCGGTGGCCGCCCTCTTCTCTTCCTCGTGTCTGGTGTGCCCTGGTCCGGCGCCCCAGCTTTCGATCGCGCTGGCCCTCGCCTTCTCGGTCAGCCCCCCCAAAAAGCTCCGGCCGCCTGCGCCAGGGGAGTCCATGAGGGAGCAACAGTTCGGCAGAGATGGTTTATAGTGTGTATATGCTGGACAGATCCAGACAAGTCTGAGCCTGAATCTTGGACATGTGCAGTACACCCTAGGCGATGCTTGAGAAAACCTGAGTTTTCGTCCAGAGTCTCGATTATTCTGAACTTTTGAATGTAAATCCCAAGATTTTGATAGAAGTTCTGGGTTTTATTTAATTTCTGAGACTATGAATTTCTTAACCCATGATTTCTTAAGCATTTCGCAAGGTGTAGCTGGGCGGATGGGGGACGGCTCCTCGGGCGCCGAGCAGCGCGCCAAGTCTGCCCGCACGACGCAGGCGATCCCCATCCCCCTCACCTTCTGCCCCCTCGCCCTCCTCGTGTCCCCCTCCCGTGGATGCGCGTCGCCACCCGTCGGGGCATGCCTCGAGGGCATCGGCTGAGTCTCCCCCGTCGACCACCTGCTGCCCACGCGGACGCACGCCAGCCGAGCAAAGCACTCGGAGCATCAGCGGCAGAGGTGGCGAGGCGGCACGAGGAGTGGGAGGTCGAGATGCGGACATGTGCACCTAGGCATCGAGGCCGTCTGGACCGAACACGCAGCCAGCACTGGGGCGAGAACGCGATTCCGATTCTTGAAGGCAATGGGAGGAAGTTCAGGAGGGAAAGAACCGCACAGACACAATGAATTGTCGACTCCCAGGAAAACATAGGAAAATGTGGGAAGTGGGGGGGAGAAGACGAAACCCCGAAGAGATGGGAAAATTATGGGGAATCCTGTTATTTGTGTCTATTTATTTGCGTGTCCCAGGGCCCCTTCATTCTTGGATGCAACGTGAGGAAGTCTCAGGTGAAACCGCCGCCCGACCACCTCCGGGGATCGGGCGGTCGCGGGCTCTCCCCGTGGGACGCTTCTGCGGTTCGTTCTTCAGGCGGGGAGAAGCGCATGCGCAGACACAACTCATCGTCGATTCCCAGGAGGATTATGGGAAGGTATGGAAAGTGGGGGGGAAAGACGAAACCACCGAACATGTTGGAGAATATGGGGGATCCTGGGATTTGTTCTTCTATTTGCTTGTGTGTCCCTGGGCCCAATTGTTTTGGGAACGCGGACGCAGCGTAGTTGACGATGGATCGTGGCCCAGGGAGAGTGGACGCAGCGTAACTTACAAGGGATCGTGGCCCTGGGAGCGCGGACGCAGTGCAATTTTCAATGAATTGTGGCCCTGGGAGCGCTGACGCAGCGTAATTTATTGGGGATCGGGTCTTGGGGGGGCGGACACGGCGTAATCTGCTAAGGAGCGTGGCCTTGAGAGCGCGGAGACAGCGTAATTCACCAGGAAACGCAGCCCTGGGAACGCGGACGTGGCGTAGGTTACAATTCAATCGTGGTCCAGGGAGAGCCGACGCAATGTCATTTTCCAGGGATCGTGGCCTTGGGGGCGCGGACGCAGTGTAATTTCTGATGGATCGTGGTTCTGGGAGCAGCGTAATTTACGAGGGATCCTGCCCCTGGGTCAGGGACGTCCCGCGGCACGCTCCCTGACACGTTCCTTGGCACATCCCCTGGCGCGTCGCCTGGCACGTTTCCTTGGCACGTTCCGTGGCGCGTTCCGTGGCGAGTACCCTTGGCACGTCGCGCGTCGCTTCCCCTGGCACGTCCATTGGTACGTTCCATGGCGTGTCTCTTTGGCACGTCCCGCGGTGCGTCCCCATGGCACGTCTCCTGGCACGTCCCCTGGCGCGTCCCTTGGGACGTTCCGCGGCGCGTCCCCCTGGCATGTCTCCTTGTCAATCAGCTCTGGGACAGCTACCATGTGCTCAGGTAGTTCGAGCCCAAGATCCAAATCATTTCGGTTAGGACTCGGATGCAACGTTGGACTCGCTCCACAACGCTATAGAGCACAGTCGCAGCATGGCACATCGCAATTCAGCACGGCGCAGCACACCACAGCCCTTGGAACGGTACATCAAGGTCTATACATTCAGCATTGCAGTTGCCCATCGCCAAATTTGGTATATTGAAAACGTTACCATGCCTTACAACTCTATATTTTTTTCCGGGTCCGTGGGTCGATCGTGTTGTTGGAACGAGGGGGGGATGTTGCCCTCGGACGGGGCATTTCTCTTCAGAAGATTACCGAATCACTACAAGACAGCCCGTGACATCCTGCCACGCCTCAACGTAGCCACAGGGGCACGGGACACGGTGGCGGATCAATGGTCCCCTCCTCGTCTATCGTCGCATCCCTTGGCGCCCCACTCGTCCGCACACGTGCCTCGGATCATGATGCGCAGCCCCATCCTGTTCCTGGCCCCTCTTCCTCGGCGGATCCGAGACAGTGGGAGGGAGGAGTGCGCAGGGAGAGAGGAGCAGGAAGAGGGAGGAGGAGGGGGGGAATGGGGACGACCCGCAAAAGGTATCTGTTCTGTTCGCACGGGTCTCCGTGGCCACTCTTGTTTCAGTTACGCATCGCAGTTTTGCAAGCACGATTGCGGCTCACCAGGTAAACAAATGAGTGAAGGAAGGAAGGAAGGGAGCGAGGGAGGGAGGAGGCCAAGGAGGAGGAGAGGGAGGAGGAGGAGGAGGCGGCGGCGGCGGCGGCGGCGACGGCGGCGGCGGCGGCGGAGGAGGAGGAGGAGGAGGGGGTTGGAGGAGGTCCCTGGAGGTGTCTGAAGGGTTGCAGAGGCCTCTGTAACCACACATTGTTTGAAAGTATACAGAAACCTTGATCCTCAAACCTCGATCATCCCCCGCGGAGCGAGAGGAAGAGGAACACAATGTTTCGCAGTGCGGCCACCATCCACTAGCGGCAGATGCTGACATCCCCAAATCCCATGAAAGCTAAGCGACGGCCGGAGACCCGCGAGGCGAGCCGCCTCGGGCAGAGGAGGGGAGGGGGGAAAGGAGGGGGCCAACTGCGCTCTCTCGCCCAGCGGCCAAGAGCCACGGCGTATTGCTCACAGCCGGATTGCTCGCCGCATGGCGCGTCCCGCTCGTGGATGTCCAAGTCGCGCTGCTGCTCCCCATCTACGAGTTGGAATGTGTGCTGCTTGTCTCCGCCGGAGGAGGAAGAGGAGGAAAAGGAGGAGATGAGCATCGAGGATCAAGGCCCTTGGACGAGGAGGGTGGTTTGATGGTGGCGGGTAGAGAGAGAGAGAGAGAGAGAGAGAGAGAGATCATTGTGTTTTAGGAGATGCTCGGGAATTGAGACCCCAGGGTCGGGCGAATGAGAAGGAGGAGGATCGTGAATCCAAGATGTGGTGTATTTGTAGCCCTTCGCTGGGCCTCCAGTGGTCCTTGGAGACTTCCGGGGGCGTGCCGCGCTCTTGGAGTTTCCCCTGGTGGGAACGTCTCCATATCTCTACCGCTATCTCTTTTTCTCGATGTGCTTGTCACAGTATGATTACTATGATGTTGTAGCGCTCGTCATCTTAATAGTAGTATGCTTGTCGTTATTATTATTACTATTTTTACTATCTGTATTAGTATTATTATGTGTTGTTTGTTCTCTCTCTCTCTCGCGCGCTAACTCTGTTGTTCTGTAAATCTCTCCCTCCGTCTTTAATTTGCACAAGGAAATGCACACCTACATTCAGATCCCCAGATTTGGGAGCGCCGTGATAACGAAGATAATGAGTGGCTGAGGCATGGGAAGTCCCTCACATGCGATACTTTTCGTGTCCAGTTCTGGGGGATCTCTCATGGAGCTCATCTGTGCCGTCTTGGGGCTCTCGCTGGCTTCTGGTGGGGCAACATTATTTGGGAGTCCCTCGTGGCCGGCTCGGGGCTCTCCTGGGCCGTCTGAGGCTAACCTCGGGCTCTCGTGGGCCGTGTTGGGCCCCTCTTGGCCGTATGATGGGTGGGTGTCAAGTGAGCCAGGTCGAGCGAGTCAGAGGGCCCCACCAGTTCCCACAAGCTTTCCCACAACAAAAGAGTAAGTTGTGGCACAATTCGATGTCGTGCTGGCCTCCGGCCAGTGCCGCCGATCCGGGGCGTTCCGGATGATGATGATGATGATGATGATGATGATGATGATGATGATGATGATGATGATGATGACGATGATGATGATGATGATGATGATGATGATGATGATGATGATGATGATGATGATGATGATGATGTTTACCATGGTAGTGGACATGGTGAAGAGCATGAAGATAGAGATGACGACGACGAGAACCACGATTGTGATGCTGGTGATGGTGACGGTGGTTGTGATGATGATAGCGGGCTGCCCACAATGATGTTGAGGATAATGATGACGTTGGTGTTGATGTTGATGATGTGATTTCTCAGCGTATTGAGGATGATGCAGTTGGTGAGGACGGCGATGGTGATGGTGATGTTGCTGCTGCTGCTGCTGCTGCTGCTGATGATGATGATGATGATGATGATGATGATGATGATGATGATGATGCTGATGGTGCTGATTATGCTGAGGGGGATGACGTTGACCATGGTGTTGGTGGTGGGGATGTTGATGACGACGGTTATGAAGAAGATGATGAAGAGGAAGAGGTAGGCCATCATATGCTGCGTCTTCCGTCTCCACATCTTGTGGAGCTCATAAGGGGCAGTCCTGTGGGGCTGTGTTTAGCTTTTGTGAGGAGGCAGGACGGGGATGGAGGAGAGAGGACGAGGGAGGAGGGAGGAAGGAGGAGGCAAGAGGTAGGTAGGAGGGAGGAGGGAGAACGGAGGAGGGGAGGAGGGGGGGGAGGGAGGGATGAGGGAGGAAGCAGAGAGGAAGGAGGAGGAGCGGAGAGGAAGGAGCATGAGGAGGGAGGAGGAGGAGGAGGAGGAAGTGGAGGGCGCCCTGTGTGGCCGTGTAGGGGTCGTCTTGGGAGCCTCTTGAGCCGTCTTGACGCGATCTCGGGGGCCTCTGGGACCGTCGGAAGCGAAGCCCCCCCGCCCCCGAGCACTGCATGGCGCCGTGAATGGCGCCCCCCCCCCCCATGCAGAGCGAACCCTGTCCCCTCCAGCTCCCGAGCACTGAATGGCGTCGGGAATGACGTCCACCCTCCCCCCTCCCCTTGCAGAGCGAACACCCCCCCGGCTCCCGAGCACTCATCCAACCCCCCCCTCTTGCAGAGCGAACCCTCCCCCCACCCGGCTCCCGAGCACTGAATGGCGTCGGCAATGGTGTCCCCCCCCAACCCTTGCAGAGCGAACCCCCCCCCGGCTCCCGAGCACTCGTCAGAGCGAACCCTCCCCCAGCTCCCGAGCTTAGAGTGGCGTCGGGAATGGTGCCACGTTCCCCCCGTGCATAGCGAAGCCTCCCCCCCCTGGCTCCCGAGCACTGAATGGCGTCGGGAATGGCGCCCCCCCCCCCTTGCAGAGCGAAGCTTGAGCGAGCTCAAGTCCACGCTCTCAAGTCCACGCTCTCAGAAGCTCACACGCCGGATCGGCGGATTAGGATTGGAACGCGTTCCCACCTAGCCGACGCAAGGCGATCGCGCGCGGCCCCGCTTCCGACGACTTGGCGAAGGGAAAGTTGCGCGGGCCGCGCAGGGGCGGGAGCGGCACAGTTTCCGATTGGCGCGGCGAAGGTGAAGCTTGCGCCGCTCTGACGGGACTGCCTCTTTCACTCACAATTTTTTGCGGCACATGCAGTCGATCCGCATAGTAAGGATTGGCGACCTTCCCAAGGGTACCCTTGCATCCTTGCCTCCTCGGTCCATCCTTGGCCACTTTAATTGGCCGCGCCCCGCTCGAAAAGCTTCGACATGGGCCTTCCAAGGCCCTTGCATCCCTATCGCGCATCCTTACTCTGCTGGTTGACTGTAGGAGAGGTCGACAGTCCACTCGCCCTCGCGCGGCCCCGCTGCCGCTGTCGCGTTCGTGCGATCTGGTGAACAGGCCACGCGCCGCGGCCTCGCGTGGACGCGACTTCCGAGCCGGATGCGGGCGGAGCCTGCCCGCTGGCGTGAGCCTCCGCGCATTTGGCGAGTGACAGAACTGCGCCGTGCCGAGGCGGGAGCGCCACTGGCAGGCAAAATCAGCGCGGCCAGGGGCGAGAGCGACCAAATTCTTACGCTCGCGCGTCGACGGAGTTGCGTGCTAAAAACATGTGCCGCGCCCAAGCAGGAGCTCAACCTCCTCCTCACCTCCTCCTCCTCCTCCTGCTTCCTCCTCCTGCTCCTCCTCCCCCTCCTCCTCCTCCTCCTCCTCCTCCTCCTCCTCCTCCTCCTCCTCCATCCCAAAATGGGCGCAGCGCCGAAGTGAGAGCGACGCCTGGGCCGTTCGCGCGGGATTCGCTCCCCGTCCCTCTCTTGCCACTCCAGTTTGCAGCATGGACGACAGCAAGTGGACCTCGCATGTCTTCGAACCATGTAGGATGAGATGTCCCGTGTTGGGCGGTCATCGTCGGGATGTACGGCAGAATCTAAGTATATCGAATGGTTTTCAGTCCATCCCGCCACCGTCCTTGGGTTTGGATATGAAGCCTATTGGATGCTCGTTGGGATCTTGCAGGAGGCCTCTCGGGTACCTCTTGGAGGCAGTTCTGAAGCCTCTTAGGGGGTTGTTTGGGGGCCTCCGGGGCCTCCAGTGCGCCTGTTGGGGCCTCCTGAGGGGCTCTTGGGGCGGAAGGCTCGGATTGTCGCTTCGTGTTCTCTCTCTTGGGCCCCTTTTGGGGTCGCCTTGGAGCCTGCGTGGGCCGTCTTGGGCGCCTCTTGGGCCGTCTTGGGGCGCTCTTAGGCTGTCTCGGGGGGACCTATTGTAGGCCTCTTGGGCCGTTTGGGGTGGTCTTGGGGGCCCCTTGAGCCGTGAGAGAACGTCTGAAAACAGAAAAGGCGAGAACGCCAAAACCCTTCAAACACTCAAAGGACATCAAGAATGGTTGCCTCTTCGGGGCATCTTGGGAGGCATCTTGGAGGCATCTTGGGGCATCTTGGAGGCCTCGTGGGACATCTTGAGGCCATCCCGTCTTGGGCGGTCATCGGCAGGAATTACTGCAGAGTCGGAGTATCTATTGGGCCGTCGTGGGGCCCTCTTGGCACCATTTCGGACCGTCGAAGGGTTTTGTAGGGCCGTGTTGGGCCCCTCGGAGGCCATCTTGGGCCGCGTTGGGGCTGTATTGGATGCCTCGTGGGCGGCCCAAGAGGGCCCCACGGCCTGAGAGGACCCCAAGACGGCCCAAGAGGCACCCAGGACCGCCCAAGATTGCACCACCCAAGAGAGGTCCAGGGGAAGGATGCGAACCCACATTTCGAGGCCTCGGCCTCCGCCCCAAGAGGACCCCGAAGACCCCCAGCAGACCCCCAAGGCCCCCCCAAAGGACCCAAGAGGCCCAACAGAGGGGCCGACAAGCGACCCAGGAGGGATCAAGACTGCCTCCAAGAGGCTGCTCAGAGGCTTCCCCCGAGACCCGCACAGGCATTCGAGAGGTCTCTCGACGAGGGGCACGGTGGCCCCTCCTTTCTCATGTCCTCCTCTTGCCGTTCGGTGTCCCGATGCTCGGCTCCTCTTTCTGCTGCCGCCCCTCCTTCGCGTGCCGACCTCGCCTTCGTCGCCGTCTGGTTCCTGGACTCTCCTCCCCTTCCTCGACCTCCAAGCCGCCCCCCCTCGTCCTCTCCGTCGTATTCATGGAGGCCTCCGTGCTCAGGGAAGGACTGCTTACGATGTGTTTCCGTAGCGACCTAGGGCTAAAGCCGTATCCAGAACCGTCGCCCAAGCCTCGGCATCTCATTGCCGTGTGAACTTTTTCTCGGCGGGGAGAATTAAGGCGCATCCTGGCTCATCCTGCGAAAACAAGCCACGCACGAAACCAACAAACACACAGGGAGTGGACGTCCGAGCGATGGCCAGTTGCAGGTTGGGATTCCAAGGAAATTAAACGCACGGAAAGCCTGAGGGGTGGTTTCCAGTGTGTATACAGGTGTGTACATAGTTGATATGTATGTGTTGTATCTCTCTCTCTCTCTCTCTGTCTTGGTGTCCCTCTGATGTTACAAGTCATGCTATCGGTGTCTGCCCATCTCTCTCTCTCTCTCTCTAGCTCCCTGTCCTTCTCTCTATCGGGATCGGGGGGCAAGATCGAGAACAAGAGAGAGAGAGGGAGAGCGAGACACACATAACACAAACAAATATTGAGAGATACTAAGGGTTGATGGAGGAAGGTGGCGGTGGGGGAGTTTCTTACCAGGCTTCCTTTCACCTCCTTTTCTCCCACAGCCTTCTTCTGCACATCATGCCCCTTTCCCCTTCTCCACCTTTCTTCCCACTCCTGGGTGCAGAGGGGGGCTGTTGGACGCCACCGGGCCAGTCAATGGGCCTCCCACCGTTCGATTGCGCGTGAGCAGGTGCTGCAGGACCCTCAGAAGAGGCAAATGTACGACCAGTTCGGCGAGGCCCTGTCTCCTCCTCCTTCCTCCAGCTTCCTCCTTTGGGAGGACGAGGAGAAGGGGGCGGAGGAGGAGGAGGAAGAGGGACAGATTTGCTAATCTGATTGACGCCTCGCGCATTCTCACCAGCCCATCTAGCAGCAATGGCCAAGCGGATTGCCTTGATGAGGGAAGAAGTGGGGTATGCAGTGAAGCGAAGTGCTGGGAAGCCGTCAAACCAGAGACTGGGATCAGCTTGAGCAGGCCCAGGTGTGAAACACATGTGCCTTCACGGACCTGTCGAACGAGGAAGGGCGAATGAGAAGGATGAGGAGGCGCGGGGAGGAAGATGAGGAGGAAGCACGAAAGAGGTGTGGGAGGAGCAGGCCGCGGAGCATGGTGAGCAGAAGGAGGATGAGTTTGATTGAAGCTCGTTCTCACTCAACTTCGGCTTGACCTTGGTTGGGAGGAGGAGGAGGAAGAGGAGGGGGGAGGAAGAGGAGAGAGGATGAGGATGAACAGGACAGGGGAGAATGCGATGGTGACGATTACGACGATTATTCAAACGCGTATGAATTTGCGCAACTCTGCTCTGGGAGCCTCTTGGAGGCCTCTTGGAATCAATCTGGGGCGTCTTGGGGCCCTTCGGGAGGAGCTTCCGACGCCCTCTTGGGGGGGTATTTTGGTCCTCTTGGAGGTTCACTCTTGAACCCTTGCGTCGCGTCTTTCCTGGAAGGGGCTCCGGCCCAGGGTTCTCTTTTAGTGGGTTTACCCCCGGGTTTGACTTGAGGTGGGCCGGCGAATTTCTCTTGCGATAAATATCGAGGTCGAGGTTGGCCAGCGAAATCAACATTTGAGGCTGTCTCGAGCGAAACGCTTGCTTTCCAGAATTTGTTGAGGCTGTCTCAAACGAAACGCTTATTTTGTGTTACAGATGGTCTATTCCTGGAGACCAGGATTCAGAGGATCTCTCAAGTGAAATGCTTGCTTTCACGTGCCCAGGTCTTGAGGATGTCTCGAGCGAGACGCCTGGTTTCACGCCTCCAGGTTGCCCAGGCAGAGGTATAGCGCCAGGATTTGTTGAGGATGTCTCGAGCGAGATGCTTGGTTTCACGCGTCCTCGTCGCCCAAGCGGATGTGTAGCATGAGGATGTGTTGAGGAAGTCTCGATCGAGATGCTTGTTTGCACGCGTCCAGGTTGCCCAGGCGGACGCCAAGCATGAGGATGTGTTGAGAATGTCTGGAGAGATACGCTTGTTTTCACGCGTCCAAGTCGCCCAGGCGGATGTCTCGAGCGAGACGTTTGCTTTCACGTGTACAGGTCGCCCAGACGGATGTCTAGAATGAAGAGGTGTTGAGAACGTCTCGAGCGAAACGCTTGTTTTCACGTGCCCAGGTCACCGAGGCGGACGTTTCACATGAAGATGTATTGAGGATGTCTCGAGCGAACCCCTTGTTTGCACGTGTCCAGTTCGCCCAGGCGGATGTCTAGCATGATAATGTGTTGAGGATGTGTTGAGCGAACCGCTTGTTTTCACGTGTCTAGGTCGCTCAGGCGGATGTTTAGCATGAGGATGTTGACAGGATGTCTCGAGCGAAACGCTTGTCCCCAGCACGTTCCGTAGCGCGTCCCCTTGACACGCTCCGCGGTGCGTCCCCTTGGCACGTCCCCTGGCACGTCGCTTGGCGCTTCCCTTGAGACGTTCCGCGGCGCGTCCTCCTGGCATGTCCCCCTAGCAATTAGCTCTGGCAGCTACTATGTGTTCAGGCAGCTCGAGCTTAAGATCCAGATCAGTTCGGTCAGGACTCGGATGCAAAGGAGGACTCGATCCACAACGCTATAGAGCACGATCGCGGCATGGCACATCGCCATTCAGCACGGTGCAGCACAGCACTTCGGCACAGTAGATCAAGAAAGACACACTCAGCATTGCAACCTGGCACGTTCCTTGGCACGTTCCGTGGGGCGTCCCTTGGCGAGTCCCCCTGGCACGTCGCGTGGCGCGTCCCCTGGCACATCCCGTGGCACATCCAGTGGCACGTTCCGTAGCGCGTCCCCTTGGCACGTCCCGCGGTGCGACCCCATGGCACGTCCCCTGGCACGTCGCCTGGCGCGTCCCTTGAGACGTTCCGCGGCGCGTCCTCCTGGCATGTCCCCCTAGCAATTAGCTCTGGCAGCTACTATGTGTTCAGGCAGCTCCAGCTTAAGATCCAGATCAGTTCGGTCAGGACTCGGATGCAAAGGAGGACTCGATCCACGACGCTGTAGAGCACAATCGCGGCATGACACATCGCAATTCAGAACGGTGCAGCACAGCACAGCCCTCGGCAGGGTACATCAACATCGATAAACTCAAAATTGCATTAGCCCGTCACCCAATCAGGTGTCATTGGAAACGTTGCCATGCGTTACACTTCTATATTCCTTTTCGGATTCGTGGGTCGATCATGTTCCTGGAAGGGGCTCTGGCCCAGGGTTCTCTATTTGATGTTTTCCCCCAGCCTTGACTTGAAGAGGGCTGGTGGAAACATTCTTCTGGGATAACCAACGAGGTCGAAGAGGGCCGGCGGAATTCTGTTTGAGGAACTCCCGAGCGAAACACTTGTTCTTCTGAATTTGCCCCCCACATCCAAAGTGGGGCGCTTGTTTTCTCTGGGCTCCCCGCGCAGAAACCATAACACAAACTACATCACCACCCTCTCACTCACTCACTCACTCACTCACTCACTCACTCATCACCACTCATTCACTCAGTCATCACGTCGCCATCACGCACACACACACACACACACACACACACTTACCATCATCAACACCAGTAGCATCATCACCACCTTATCATCAACATCAGGAGCATCACCACCATCACTCATTCACCGGCTCACTCACTCACTCATCCGCTCGGACTCACTCCTTTGCTCATCATCGTCACAATCATCATCGTCATCACTCACACACGCACTCACACTCACACACAAACCATCTTGATCACCTTGACCATCACTCGGTCACACACTCACTCACCCACTCATTTACTCACCCACTCATTCGCTGGCTTGAATACGGGGGGAGTTTGAGGCGTGAGGCTCGTCTGTGAGTGAATCGCGGGGACGTCTCAGGTGGGAGCGTCTCCTTATGGGCCCGCGCTTTATGCTTCTAATCCGAGCGGGTCATCCTCGAACTTTTAACTGTCGTCACTTTTGGGGTTTTCAGGCCTGAATATGGAGGATGTATCACGCGGGAGGCTCGCCTGTGAATGAATTGCGAGGAAGTTTCAGGCGGGAGTTCTCTCCCAATGGGGCCCGCACTTCATGTTTTCAGTCCGAGCGGGTCATCCTTGAACGTGTAATTGTCGCCACTGTTGGGGTCCTGGGGTCTGAATATGGGAACCGTATCAGGCAGGAGCTTCGTTTTTGAGTGAATTGTGCGGAAGTCTCACGCGGAAATCCCCTCCCAATGGGGCCCGCACGTCAGGTTTGCCCCCACATCCAAAGTGGGCATCTTGTTTTCTTTAGACACCCCGCGCAGGAACACACAGGAACGCACACTCGCGCACATTCACATTCATTCACACACAGGCCATCTTGACCACGTTGACTATCACTTGATCACACACTCACTCACCCACTCACTCATCATCTGCAGCACGCTGGCGTGACTGTCGGGGAGGTTTCAGGCGGAGGTTCGTCTGCGAGTGGATTGCGAGGAGCTCTCACGCGGGAGCCCTCTTTCTATAGGGGCCGAGCTTCATTTTTGTTCGTGTCTCATCCGAGCGGGTCATCCTCGAACTTGTAACTGTCGTCACTTTTGGGGTCCTGAGGCATGAATATGAGGTAAGCATCAGGCGGGAGGCTCGTCTGTGAGTGAATCGCAAGGAAGTCTCAGGCGGGAATCCCCTCCCTATGGGGCCCGCACTTCATGTTTTTAATCCGAGCGGGTCATACTCGAACATGTGACTGTCGTCACTTTTGTGCTCCTGAAGCCTGACTTCGGGGGACGTTTCAGGCGGGAGGCTCGTCCGTGAGTGTATTGCGAGGAAGTCTCAGGCGAAGCCCCTTCCCTATGGGTTCCGCGCTTCATGTTTTTGGTCCGAGCGGGTCATCCTCGAACTTGTAACCGTCGTCACTTTGGGGCTCCTGAGGCGTGAATGGGAACTTCGTCTGTGGATGAATTGTGCGAAAGTCTCAGGTGGGAGCCCCTCCTTATGGGGTCCGCATTTTATTTGTTGTATCCGAGCGGGTCATCCTCGAACCTGTAACTGTCGTCATGTTTGGGTTCCTGAGACCTGAATATGGGGGAAGTATCAGGCGGGAACCTCGTCTGTGATTGTTTTGTGAGGAAGTCTCAGGCGGGAATCCCCTCTCTACGGGTCCCGCACTTCGCGTTTTGAATCCGAGCGGGTCGTCCTCAACCTTGTAATTGTCGTCACTTTGGGGCTACCGAGGCCTGAATATGGAGGGCGTATCAGGCGGGGAGCTTTGTCTGTGAGTGAATTGTGATGAAGGGAGCCCCTTCCTCATGCGCTCTTCAGAGGTCGATTCGCCCGACCAATCAAGTGAGGAGGAAGAGGACGAACAGGAGGTGAGGACGACGACGGCGGCCGGGCGCAAGGGAAAACCCTTGCGTCCTGGCCGGGGATGTTAACCCATCTGCGGTCGAAGAGGGGGGCATGTAGAAGAGATTGAGGTGGTTGTGGGAGCACGTCCGCGCTGTTGCCATCGAGGAGATGAGCATGGTGGCAGCCGCGCTGTACAACGCGCTGGGCCCTCGCGCGTGCCACGGACGCAATGACACGCACGACGTGCAGGAGTCTACCTACCACCGGCCGCACCACCATTTCGGGCGCGTCCCCATTGTGTTGCACTTCGGCGATTTCCTGCAGTTCAACCCCGCCGGCAGCATTGGCCTCCTGACCGACGCGAACGAGCTCCTGAACGACGACTCGTACAAGTACGCGGATCCGCCGTCGGGGGAGATTCAGCACGGTACCAAGGTCTTCTCTCATATACCCTGCGTCTTCGAGCTGAAGGGCACGAAGCGCTTCGAGACTGGGGACCCTCTGATCACGCTCCTTGGCTGCACGCGCGAGGGCATGCCCTTCCCACCAGAGGTATGGTCCGCCCGGGGGAAGACGTTGGCCTCGGACAGCCGCGGCGTCCTGGACCCTCGGCGCCAGCACGAGAATTGTCAATTCGGCTACGGCATGGGCGTATATCAGGAGACCCTGGCGAGGTGGACCAACACGCGCGCTCATCGCGACGCGCTGCGCCCGGGTGTGTCCCTCGTTTTCCGGAAGGCCGTTGACGATTGCAGCGCGATCCAGGGCGATCCCGACGCGGGCCCTCGCCTCCTGAACGCCCCGAACATGCAGAAGACGGGGGGCACCCACGGCGTCTTGCTTGCCCGCGTCGGCATGGAAGTGCGACGTACGGCGGCGCAGGAAGTGCAGAATAAGAAGAAGTTGGGACTCGTGCGGGAGCAACGGGCCACCATTGTGTCCTTCGAATTCCACCGCGATGACGAGCAGCGGCGCGAGGAATGCTCGGCAGGCCAGCTCTTTCGCTCCCGCCTTCTACCGCAGGGAATCGGGCTGCAGGTGCACGGCCGCAAGGAGTCTCCGATATACCAGGAGGTCGCCGAGGTGATGCGACAGGGGGCCGAAGACGCCGACGACGGCCAGGCCGAGGCGCGGGTTCGGAGCCTGCTGATGTACAGGCCCAGCGAGCAGGAGCTCGCGCGGCAGAGTCCGGGGCCGCGCGCCGCTCGGGGTTCACTCTGACTCGCGCGTCCTGCCTCACCTCCGCGCTGTCGCAGGGCCAGACGCTCCGCAAGGGCGCCACCATCGACTTCGCGAGGGGCGAGGACGCTGGCCGCGCGGGCGCATCGGACGACCAGCGGTGGCTGCGCCTCTACGTCGCGCTCTCCCGCGCCGCGCGCGTGCGGAACATTCTGATCCTGCGGCCGCCCGCGAAGGAGTTCCTTGAGCGCGGGCCGCCGGCGCCCTTGCGGAAGGCGCTCGAGGTGTTCGATGAGAAAGCGGAGAGTTCCAGAGATGAGGCCGAGCATTTCGCCGCAGAGCCTGGCTTCGTGCTGCCTCCCGCCCGAGCGTGGTCGTGACCAGTTCGGCGCCTGCGGGTTTGCCCCGCCGGTTTGCTCCCGCTCCCCAGAGGCTCGCGCGGCGCCCCAACGGCATGGCCCGCGGGGTTGCCCCAACGACCGCGCGGCGCGGCCATTCGAGAATGCGCCCGCGCTGGCCGAGGCGGCGACGGCGTAGAGGAAACGAAACAAACGGCACGAGGGCGAGGCGAGGGCAACGCGGGGAGCGGGCGAGGGCCCTTCGCCAGGGTGGGAATGATTATGACGCAGAGAAGACAATGAGGGCGCTTCACTAATCGAAGGATTTGCTTGTGGGGTCTTTCCGCCGGAGCAATTGAGGATGTCCAGGTCCCCCAGGCAGATGTCCAGCACGAGGAATTGGTGAGGATGTATCGAGAGAGACGCATGCATTCACGTGTCCAGGTCGCCCCGGCGGATGTCTAGCATGATGATGTGTTGAGGATGCGTTGAGCGGAACCATTATTTTCACGAGTCCAGGTCGCTCAAGCGGACGTGTGCCATGAAGATGTGTTGAGGATGTCAAGAGTGAAGCGTTTGTTTGTTCGTGTCCAGGTTGCCCTGGCGGATGTCTAGCATGGGGGAGTGGTGGAAACTTCCCGAGCGAAGCTTTAGCTGTGAAGAGCCCATGTCGCCCAGGCGGACGTCTAACCTGAATATGTGTTGAGGGTGCCTCGAGCGAAACGTTTGTTTTCACGTGCACAGGTCACCCCAGCAGGTGTCTAGCATGAGGATATGCCGAGGATGTGATGAGCGGGACGCTTGGTTGGTTTCACGCGCCATGCCGCCCAGGCGGATGTCCAACATGAAAATATGCGCATGATGTTTCGCGCGGGAAATTTGTTTTCACGTGTCCAGGTCGCCCAGGCGGATGTCGAGCATGAGGATGTGTTGAGGATGTGTTGAGTGAAGCCCGTGGCTTCACGTGTCCAGGCCGCCCGGACGGATGACTAACATGAAGCTGTGTTGAGGATGTCTCGAGCGAGATTGTTGTTTTCAGGTGTCCAGGTCGTTCAGATGGGTGTCTAGCATGAGGAGGTGTTGAAGATGCCTCGAACGACACGCTTGTTTTCACGTGCCTAGGTCACCCGGGCGGACGTCCAACAAGACATTTGTGCTGGGGAATTCTAGAGCGAACCATTCGCATTAACGTTCCCAGCTCGCCCAAGCGGTTGTCTAGCATGAGGATGTGTTGAGCGAAACGTTTGTTTTCACGTGTCCAGGCCGCCCAGGCGGATGTATAGCAGGAGGATTTGGGCAGGCTGTCTCGAGCGAAACGCTTGTCCCCAGCATGTTCCGCATCGCGTCCCGTTGGCACGCACCGCGGTGCGTCCCCATGGCACGTCGCGTGGCGCATCCCTTGGGACGCTCCGCGGCGCGTCTTCCTGGCATGTCCCCCTGTCAATTAGTTATGGGGCAGTTGCTATGTGCTCATGCAGCTCGAGCTTAAGATCCAGATCAGTCTGGTCAGGACTCGGATGCAAAGGAGGACTCGATCCACAACGCTATAGAGCACACTCGCGGCATGGCACATCGCAGTTCAGCACGGCGCAGCCCAGCACAGCCCTCGGCACGGCACATCAAGATCGGTACATTCCGCATTGCAGTTGCCCCTCGCCCAATCAGGTCTTTTTGAAACGTTGGCAGGCCTTAATTTCTTGATTCGTTTCCCTGTTCGTGGGTCGCGCATGTGTTGGAGGGGTATCTTGGAGCAATGTTGCGCCTATCTCGGGCCCCTCTTGGGCAATATTGGAGCCGTCTTAAGGCCAACGACGCCAAGCGGACGCGACACGGCGAGAAGGCACACACCGTAGCGTTTTTTTTAGTTGTTGGAAGGATGTTGGTTTCTGGGGTCCCAGTTGCAGACTCCTCCGTCCCTCAGTGACCTATTCTTTCCCCCCCCCTCCCCCCGCGGCCGCCCGCCTCCCCGTTCCCCCTCTCCTTGCACGCTGGCCAATTCGCGTTTCGGTGCACCCCCTTCCATGCCGTCGGCGAACAAATATAGTTTCTGGAGTCCTCCTCGGGGAGCTGTGTGGCCGTGTGGAGCTTTCTAGGGGCGTTTGGGTTCCCGTGTAGGCAAAATGGTGGCCACGTTGAGCCATCTTGGGATATCTCGGGCACTCGTGGATGCCATCCTGTACTCTCAAGGCCATGGTGAAGCAATGTTGGCCCAAACGCTCTCTAATGGCGCCATCGATACGCATGCATCCGCGAACGAAACAAATAATGGTTGTTCAATGCTTACGACGTTGCGCAAAGGAGGGGTCCTCAGTTAGCCTTGCCCTCGGGATCTTTTAAACATCTCCTATGTGGGCGCTCTTGGGTTGGCCTTGGAGCCGTCCTGAGGGCCCCTCTTGATACGCTGTTCGGTTATCTTCGAACCATCTCGAGGCCTCGACAGCCCGTCGGAAGCGAAAAGGCAAATGCGTGCAGCCAGAAGGTGGTGTTGGTCTCTTGGGGGCCTCCGTGGGGAGCTCTGTGGTCACTTGTTGCGGTCTTGGATCCTCTTGGAACATGTTGGAAGCCATTTCGGAATTAGATATTGACCCATCTTGGATGGGATCTTGCGCTCTTCGACAGCAGTTTCGGAGCCATCTTGTGCCAAAGGGGGCCCTCTGGCACCTGGCGCCGCCCCCCGTTCAGACCCAGGGAGAGGGGGCAGCGAGAGGTGTCAAGCAGCCCCCTCTCCCCGAAGGACGGCCGTCTCGCTCACTCCCACCCTCCACCACGTAAGTAGCACCCGAGTCTCGGCATGGGCAGTCGCCGTCATCGACAATCATCGGGAACCAATGCGGACGCCAGCCAGGTGCGTGACGCCAGCGATGTGCGCCGCGCGTGCCAATTCTCTAAACCATTCGCGCCTTGACGGGCTAATGGTTTGTTGATGGGTTCCACGTGGTTCTAGGGAGTCCTTTCTCTTGGTTTCGGAGGAGTGTCCTTCGCGTCTGATGAGTAGGAGGGGGAAGATGAGCAGGTCAGGGGACTCGGTGAGTTTCAGAAGTTTGATGTTGTTCGTAGTTCCCAGGCCTCTGGGGTAGGTGGGGTCGCAGCATCTTGCCGCATCGCCGATGCGGCACGATCTGGAGCATGTTGTCATGAGGTTCATTTGAAGTGTCTGAGATGTTTCAAAGGTTTCTTACAGTTGTCACAAGCTTCGTAGAGGTCTCGGGGCGTCTTCGTCTACAGAGTTCTGGCGGTGTTCTGACATTCTTCAAGGGGTTCTGAAGGTTTTCGGAAGTGGTCGGAGGCTCCTTCAAACATATTTCGGGCTCCCGATGGCTTCCAGGGAGTCCTCATGATGTTTCGCAGGTGTTTGAATGTGTGTGGATGTTCAGTGGCTGCCGGCGTCGTCCTCAGACTCGTCCTCTCCACTACGCGGAGCCTGCACTGCTGGATCTCGCCTGTATTGCACCCGTTTCTGAACTTGCTCGTGCGTCTCTTCAGGAGGAGAAAAAAACACAGACACGATTAATCGTCGATTCCTCAGAAACTATAGGAAAATATTGGCAGTGGGGGGGAAGACAGAAACACAGAAAACATGGGAAAATATTTGGAATCCTTTTATGTGTGTGTATTTATGTGTGTGTCCTTGGGCCCCTTCATCTCTGGGCGCCCCGCTTTTGGCGCGAGGCCGGGGTCAACGGCATGGGCGGTGGCGGAGGCCCTGGAGGCATGGGCGGCATGGGCGGCATGGGCCTGGAGGACCGCCCCGGCTCCCACCCTGTACGCTGCCTCCGCGTCCCCGCGGGCGCCCTCTCCGCGGTTCTCGCCCTGCGGTGGGGCATCCGCGCCATGGTCCACGCCCGCGGCGGGTCCCCTGCATCGCCAGGGCCGTCCTCGCGTCTCCTCGTGGTCCGTCCGCCTGCGCCTCCGCCTGCAAGTCCATCCGTCCTCTTGCTCCGGGCCCGCCTCTTCCAGAGCCTCCACCTCCTGCACCACTTCAGACCTCCGCCTTCCTCATTGCTGCTCCCCCCTCCATCTCCACCCTGGGGGACGAGCATAAGGATGAGGAGGAGGAGGAGGAGGAGGAGGAGGAGGAGGAGGAGGAGGAGGAGGGGGAGGAGGAGGAGGAGGAAGAGGAGGAGGAGGGGGAGGAGGAGGAGGAGGGGGGGGTTGGAGGAGGAGGAGGAGGAGGAGGAGGAGGAGGAGGAGGAGGAGGAGGAGGAGGAGGAGGAGGAGGAGAGGGATAGACGAGAACAGAGATGAGAAGCGGAATCAGATATAGGAGGGGAGTCGGCGGGATGAGGTGCAGGAGCAGGACAGAGACGCCCGTCGGCGAACAGAGGAAGAAGCATGAGCGCAACGAGAAGAGATGGATGGGAGGGGTAGGATGTCAGATGAGGCGTTCCAAAAAATGGCCTCTCTTCCTCGGCGGAAGGCGGCGTTAGGTCGGCGGAGGTAAATCGAGGCCGCCACCGCCAGCGAATGCCGGCGAAGGCCAGCGGAAGGCGGCGGGAGTAAAAGATGCGCCTTCAAGAGATGACAACAGTTTTGGGCTCAGGGTTCCCGAAATCGGCCGGATGGCGCGGTCACCTAGTTTACCGGGCCTCCGTTGGCCCAACACGGCTAACACAGTGCATCAAGCATATTCGATCTTCGATCCTCAAACCCTCCTCCTTCCCTCCTCAGGGGACCCGGAGCCTTAGTGGGCCCTGAAACCGACAGGGCAGTAAGTTTTACCGTTTGGGTTGTTCCTTTTTTGCAGTTTCTGGCGCCGTTGTTTCATTGTGTTTGTTTCCCTTGCCAGGGGCTTGATCACCGCTTGTTTTCTGGATCCGAACCGTGTTCGAGCCCGCTCCGAACGTTCTCAGGGACCCCAGACTGACCAGGTCAATTCGTGAAACCGTTTCTGTGACTGGTTTTTCCGGAAAGGGCTCTGGCCCAGGGTTGTATTTTTTCCCGGAAAGCGTTGAAGCCCAGGGTTCTCTTTTAGTTGTTTACCCCCGGTTTCGACGGCTGTAGGTCCGGCGAAATTGTTTGCGATAGATAACGAGGTCGCGTAGGGCCGGCGAAATTATTGTTGAGGATGTCGCGAGCGAAACGCTTGTTTTCCAGAATTGGTTGAGGATGTCTCAAGCGAAACGCTTGTTTCGTATTACATAGTGTTCTCTCCTGGGGACCAGAATTCAAAGGATCTAAATGCTTGTTTTCACGTGCCCAGGTCTTGAGGATGTCTCGAGCGAGACGCTTGGTTTCACGCGTCCAGGTCGCCCAGGCGAATGTTTAGCATGCTGATTTGTTGAGGATGTCTCGAACCAGACGCTTGTTTTCACGCGTCCAGATCGCTCAGGCGGATGTCTAGCATGAGATTGTGTTGAGGAAGTCTCGATCGAGACGATTGTTTGCACGTGTCCAGGTCGCCCAGGCGGATGTCTAGCATGAGGATGTGCTGAAAAAAATGTGAGCGAAACGTTTGTTTTCACGTGTCCAGGTCGCCCAGGCACAGCACAGCCCTCGGCACGGTACATCAAGATCGATACCCTTAGCATTGCAGCCTGGCATGTTGCCTGGCACGTTCCGCGGAGCGTCCCGTGGCGAGTCCCCCTGGCACGTCGCGCGGTGCGTCCCCTGGCACGTCCCGTGGCACGTCCATTGGCACGTTCCGTAGCGCGTCCTCATTGGCACGTGGATGCAAAGAGGAGTCGGTCCATAACGCTACATAGAGCACAATCGCGGCATGGCACATCGCAATTCAGCACGGCGCAGCGCAGCACAGCCGTCGGCACGGTTCATTAAGATCGATACACTCAGCATTGCAATTTGGTACGTTCCGTGGCAAGTCCCCCTGGCACGTCGCGCGGCGCGTCCCCTGGCAAGTTCCGTGGCACGTCCATCGGCACGTTCCGTAGCGCGTCCTCATTGGCACGTCCCGCGGTGCGTCCCCATGGCATGTCCCCTGGCACGTCGCCTGGCGCGTCCCTTTGGACGTTCCGCGGCGCGTCCTCCTGGCATGTTCTCTATGTCGATTAGTTCTGGGGCAGCTACCATGTGCTCAGGCAGCTCGAGCTTACGATGCAGATCAGTTCGGTCAGGACTCGGATGCAAAGGAGGACTCGATCCACAACGCTATATATAGAGCACACTCGCGGCATGGCACATCGCAATTCAGCACGGCGCAGCACAGCACAGCCCTCGGCACGGTACATCAAGGTCGATACATTCAGCACTGCATGTGCCCGTCGCCCAATCAGGTGTCTTTGAAACGTTTCCATATTTTACATTTCAATATTCCTTTCCGGGTTAGCATGCAGCTTCGTTTGTTGCGGATGTCTCGAGCGAAACGGTTGTTGTGCATAATGTGTTGAGAAAGTCTCGAGCGCAGCGTTTGTATTTTGGAGATGGCCCAGAATCTGGACGCCCAAGGATGCCCCAGGGGGCCCTGCGAGTGCGGACGCAGTGTAATTTACCAGGGATTTCGGCCCTCAGAGCGTGGACGCAGACTAGTTTACTAGGGATCGTGGCCCAGGGAGAGCGGACGCAGCGTAAGTTATTATGGATCGTGGACCTGGGAGCGCGGACGCAGCGTCATTTAAAAGAAATCGTAGCCTTGGGAGCGCGGACGCAGCATAATGTATAATGGATCGTGACCCTGGGAGCGCGGACGCAGCGTGATTTACAAGTGATCCTGGCCGTTGGGGGGGTGACACATTGTAGTTCATGAGGGAACGTGGCCCCGGGAGCGCGGACACAACGTAATTCACGAGGGAGCGCGGTCGTGGGAGCGCGGACGCAGCGTAGCTTATAAGAAATCGTGGCCCAGGAAGAGCGGGCGCAGAATACTTTACAAAGGATTGTGGCCTTGGAAACGCGGACGCAGCGTAATGTACAATGGATCGTGGCCTTGGGAGCGCGGACGCAGCGTGATTTACAAGTGATCCTGGCCGTTGGGGGGGGTGACACATTGTAATTCATGAGGAAACGTGGCCCGGGGAGCGCGGGATCGTGGCCCAGGGAGAGCGGACGCAGCGTAATTTACGAGGGATCGTGGCCCTGGGTCAGGAACGTCCCGCGACACGTTCCCTGACGCGTTCCCTGGCACGTTCCCTGGCGCGTCGCCTGGCACGTTGCCTGGCACGTTCCGTGGCGCGTCGCCTGGCACGTTCCCTGGCGCGTCGCCGGGCACGTTCCCTGAACGCGTTCCCTGGCACGTTCCCTGGCGCGTCGCCTGGCACGTTCCGTGGCGCGGCCCGTGGCGAGTCCCCTTGGCACGTCGCGCGGCGCGTTTCCTGGTATGCCCCGTGGCACGTCCATTGGCACGTTCTGTAGCGCGTCCCCTTAGCACATCCCGCGGTGCGTCCCCATGGCACGTCCCCTGGCGCGTCCCTTGGGACGTTCCGCGCCACGTCCCCCTGGCGTGTTCCCACTGTCAATTAGCTCTGGGGCAGCTACTTTGTGCTCAGGCAGCTCCAGCTTAAGGTCCAAATCAGTTCGGTCAGGACTCGGATTCAATGGAGGACTCGATCCACAACGCTATAGATCACAATCGCGGCACGGCACATCGCAGTTCAGCACGGCCCAGCACAGCACAGCCTTTGGCTCTGTACACCGAGATCGATACATTTAAGCCTTGCAACCTAGCATGTTCTCTGGCATGTTCCGTGTCGCGTCCCTGGGCACGTCCCTTGGCACGTCGCGCGGTGCGTCCTTGGGCGCGTCCCGTGGCACGTCCATTGTCACGATCCGTAGCGCGTCCATTTGGCACGTCCCGCGGTGCGTCCCCATGGCACGTCCCTTGGCGCGTCCCCTGTCGCGTTCCTTGGGACGTTCCGCGGCACGTCCCCTTGGCGTGTCCCCCAGTTCGGTCAGGGCTCGGATGCAAAGGGGGACTCGATCCACAGCGCTATAGAGCACAATCGCGGCATGGCACAGCACATCGCAATTCAGCACGGCGCAGCACAGCACAGCCCTTGGCACGGTACGTCCAGATTGATACACCCAGCATTGCAATTGCAATTGCCCGTCGCCCAATCGGGTGTCTTGAAATCGTTGCCATACCATACATTCATATACATATATATATATGTATATATACATATATATGAATATGTATATATGTATAGGGATTCCTTGCGGGTTCGTGGGTCGATCATGTTCTGTCGCTTCCGTTATCAAGATACAGTTTGTTCAACAACGGTAATTCGAGAGTGCCCCGTCGTTTGGACAGCCCACTCAGCCCCAAGCTGCCTCCAGAGGCCCAAGCCAAGATTCCCGTGCAGGTGGAGCTCTATCCTCAATCCTCTCCCTCTCCCGCTCTCTCCCTCGCCCTCCCCTCTCGCCCTCTCCCGTTCTCTCCCTCTCTCGTTCTCCTGGATCCTCCGCCTCCTCCCTCTTCCTCCCTCCGCCGCCGCCGCTGCCGTCGTGCTCGGTGGCTTCAGGAGGCCTCGGCGCTCGGCATCGAGGTCGCGGCCCTCACGACGTCAAGGGGTAGCAGCATCTGATATAGCATTTAGTTAATGTCGATCCGATCGATCCGATTCGATATCGGTTTCAGCCCGATTCGAATCAGATGATCCGACGATCCGATACAGCCAGGTGCTTGCATGGTGCTGCAGTGCATCCTAGCCTGACCTATCCGACCCGATTCCTGTTCCGTGGTGCAGCTCGACCCGATGCACCTTCTGGTCCGATCCGATTTCCCGATTCGATGTTGATTGATCTTGCTTCCTTCGTCGTTCGGTGGGCGGGGGGGGTCACACGTCAGAGTGACCCTTCGCCGGAGTGACCATT